AGGAGTACGAGTAGCGCACTTGCGACGACGACAACTTGGGAACGGTGACATCATGTACGGACATTTTATCTTTTGTGTGTTTTGGACTGTGGAGCATGGTTCCATGTGAAAACGGTTGTGTTTAAATTACGTTTTTGGACATGTGTTGTTTTAAAAGACGTGTGATGTGTGTTATTTCCGCTGCGTACTTTTATGTAAAAATGATTTTTAATTCCCGTATTTTCGGTTGTATTATATTTATCGGTTTCGTCCATGTGGCATATCCTGTTCACGGGATGCGGGATTCGGGTGTCACATAGCCCCGCCTCGCCACGATCTCCGGCGCGGTGTAAGCCGGCGTGCCGCACGCCGTGTGGAGCAAGCCGTCGTGCCTCAGGTGCTCCGGCAAGGCGGAGAGCCCAAAGTCGGAGACTTTGAGGTTTCCTTCTCTGTCGAGGAGCAGATTCTGCGGCTTCACGTCTCTGTGGGCGACGCCGTTCTGGTGGCAGAATCGGAGCGCGGAGGCGAGCTGCTGGAAGTAGCGACGCGCCGCCGTCTCCGGCAAGCGGCCACGGTGGAGGACCTTGGAGAAGAGATCGCCTCCGGCGGCAAGCTCCATTACGAGGTAGATCTTGTATTTGGTCGCCATGACTTCGTGGATCTTGAGGATGTTGGGATGGTGATGGAGCCGACGCATCGCATCGATCTCCCGGATTATCCGAGGTTCCATGGAGGCATTGACGGTCTTCTTCTTGTCGATGATCTTGACGGCGAATAGCTCGTCGTCTCCGATCGAACGAGCCACATGGACCTTCGCGAAGCTTCCGCTGCCGAGCCGGCGACCGAGTTGGTATTTCCCAAGGAGAACGGTCCCTGGAGCTTTTGCCGGTTGAGATGGCGGTGACGTCGGCGGTGGAGTAGGCGGTGCCTGCGGTGGTCCCTGAATTTTCCGTTGAGTCGGAGATTCCATGACTCAAACGGCGGAGGTTGTGTAGAAAAATAAAATGCGGAAACAGAATAAGACAAATGAAAATAAACGGAATTACTTTATTGCTACATCTCTTCTTCTTGTTGTTCCATTACAATGAAAATAACTCACATATTTATAGAAAAATTAACAAATGAAATAAAAGAAAATATAGATATAACGGAAATAAATATGATTCACAATATTTAACATAATATTGTGTTCCTTCAAAATCTAGATTTTTCTCCAATCACAAATTCATTTTCCTACTTCAACATTCCCCTCAAGATTGATTTGGAAAGAATGCAAAAATCAATCTTGAAAAGATAATGCGATAAAAATCCATAGACATTTTCATTGTCTTTTGAAAAATTCATAAACACCAAATTTAGTTCTTTTAGAGAATATTACCCATGTTCAAATCACTTCGCTTGACTTTGAAGTTCTACTTTTAACTCTTTTTGTCATAGCACCTCGCTTGATCTTAGAGTTTTTAGGTTTGACTTCTTTTTGTCACAGCACCTCGTTTGATTTTGGGATTTTTACTTCTATTTGAACGATTTAGATATATGAACATCCAAAACTAAAAAAAAAAAGAGATTGAGAAAAAAAAAAGATATAGAGCAGATCGAACCGCCCTGATACCATGTAGAAAAATAAAATGCGGAAACAGAATAAGACAAATGAAAATAAACGGAATTACTTTATTGCTACATCTCTTCTTCTTATTGTTCCATTACAATGAAAATAACTCATATATTTATAAGAAAATTAACAAATGAAATAAAAGGAAATATAGATATAACGGAAATAAATATGATTCACAATATTTAACATAATATTGTGTTCCTCCAAAATCTAGATTTTTCTCCGATCACAAATTCATTTTCCTACTTCAAACAGATGGTGCCGGTGAGTTGCCCGAGTTCGCGGACAAGAGACGTGAATTTTAGTGACTGATTTTGCGTTTATAGGCGAAACAGAGAGTGGAGAGAGAGAATATCTCTCGTTCCGAAGCTGCCATTCTTTTGGTTTCATTTTTTATATTTAATTTATAAAAATGTGTTAAAATTTATCGTTTTTTCCAAAAAAAAATCTTTATAAAAAATATAACATTATAACACAATCAACGGAATCAAAATATATTAAACCAACAAAAATGAAGTCATTTATTCCTAGTTTACAAGTTTTGTTTGCTAACTAATCAGCATAAAAATTACATTTCTGTGTAATAAAAACAATGAGAATATAATGAATTATTTAAATTTCGTCATACCTTAAAAACAGATAATAATAATAATGTATCAATCATTAATTTATATGTATTGGGTTACATTAAATTACTTTCTAAAGCTGGAACCTTAGCAAAGGAGTAATTTATGAATGAAGACATAACATGGTTTGTCATGTGTCATATTATAATTTTGTTTATATTATATTTAGTAACATATTTAAAACTAGAAAATCGATCATTTATAATTTATTTCTGCATGTGAAGAATTTGTTCATAATATTGTATTATATTAAGTAACATATATCACTCATATATATAATTTTAATAAAATTTTGGTACAAGATTCCCGATTTCAAGACAAGGTGGTTGATAACCTGTATATTGAATAATAAGTTCTAATCAAAATTGTCTTCGTTCCCCTTTTTTTAAAGGACACATTATTATTTTTTATTTTCCTATTTTAGTCGTGAAGATTAATAATAAGAGGAAAATCAATCAATTATATTTACCAACTAGAGTATAACTTAGAAAATTAGCATATGCAATATTGAATTGTCCATTCGCCTTTTTTCCCTGTTATTTTTTCACACATCAAGGTAATTATTTGCTTTATAGACTAAGATAAAATTTTATAAAAATATCTTGGAGGCTATATTACTATATTATAATAATATACATTTCTAAGAGATGACGATCAAAATCAAATCATATATATAATATTATATATATATATATATATATATATATATATATATGATTGTTCATCACTTATCATGGCTTTAATTGGCCTGTTGGATTTTTTTTTTTTGTAACTATAAATCAACGGTTCTTAACACACGAATTTCTTTGGTAGATTCTCCATTAACTCCATCTAAATTACTATTTAAATTCATTACGAAGAAAGGGTATTTATGTCATTTCACTATATCGAGAGAGCGCCAACGCTGATCATTGGACAGCGGTTAAGTCCTCTCTCTCAAATAACCGTCATGACATTTGGCGGTTGTAGAATGGTGATTGGAGGACTGAGTTGGACGGCTCTGCTTCCTCCATGTCATTGTCAGCGGCCCCACACTGGACCCCACCAGGATCTTTAATATATGAAAAAAAAGTGTTTTTTAAATAAAAGAAGAAGGAAAAATAAGAATAAAGAAGAGGCAATGATTACATTTTTTTTTCCACACTGAAAGATCGAGTACATAACACAGTTTCTCGGTACTGTCACCCTTTGCATATCAGCTTTAACCTGATGGTACAAAGTGAGGGGAGGAGACCGAAAAAACGTTGTTCCTAACGGCAATTTGTGTCCTCCCTCGGCTTATAAATCTGCACTACCGATATCTCCCTCAGCTTTAGAGGTGGTCATTTCGGATTTCAGTTCGTATTCGGTTCGGTTATATATGGGTTCGATTATTTCGGTTATAGAAAAACTATAACCATTCGGTTTTTATATAAATTTCGGTTCGGTTCGGTTCGGTTCCGGTTATAATTAATATACATTATATTATTGTACAAATAAATATGATATTATGTAAATTACTTATAATATAAATTTTTTATTAGTTCAAATTTAACATTAAATTGATTTTATAATTATTGAAATATATCAATAATAATTAAAGAAATTATTTAAAATTAAAAATGAATTATATTTATGTTAAAAACCTTAATTTATGGATTTTAAAAAAATATTATTCTTATCATTAATAAAAAAACATTGCAAAATTTATTGATTATATTTAAATAATTTTTGTTATAAAACTTAATGATTTTTAAAATTATTATTAATTTTATTAATAATTTTTTATTATATTAATTTATATATTTTTATTCAATATTTTTAATAATATTATTTTTATTATATAAATTTATATTTTTTATCGATATAATTTTGTATAATATACGAGGCTCAAAAAAAGTTGAGACGGCCATATATATATATATATATATATATATATAAACACCTACATATTTTTAAAATATGATTCGAAGGGGACAATATATGACCACAACATCAATAAGAAATTCAGTGAATGGGATATTATTGGTGCCATAGGATAATATTAAACCACACACACAAATTCATGCATCATTTTTTTTTCTTTGTTCTCTTTTTTTTTTGGTAAAATGTATTCCATGTATAGATATTTTCATACGGATAAATTTCATTCATTTTTTTTAATTGTAAATTTATATATTTCAATAAATTTTGATTATTTTTAGTGAGATATTAACCTATATATTCTCAACAGAACTTAAAAAGAAAGAAAATAAAAATTACACCTAGTTAAAAAAATTACCTGTTATAAAAAATACAAGTCATGCATATATATATATATATATATATTCCCATTTTTTTGGACCTTTATGATTTTTTTTCTTGCGATTTGTGTTTTATGAGAGCAAAATACATGCGTCTCATTGTTTACGTAGTTCTTTTCCAATCGATTGATACACCCGACTTGTCTACATATTCAATCCGAATCTAGCAAAAATAAAATAATATTTTTGTAACAATATTAGTATATTTAACTTGAGCTCCATATAATAGAATAAAAAAGTCAAAACTAAAAATGAGTTGCCCACTTGGACCAATGAAAAGACGCAATTAGATGCAACATAAGCCGTCGAATCACTTAGGTGTATTAGATTTTGCTATCATGAAGGATGATGCATCACTTCTAAAATGATCTTCAAATCTTGACATAATCATCTTCATAATAATGCTTTATATATATGTATATATAGATATATATATACACCGACCAAGCTTATAGAAGAAAAAAAATATTTTTTTGGTTCATTAATTAATCAAAGTTGAGCAATGGTCCCTAGCTAAGTGACATAATTAAGTTAAATAAATTTGCCGTGGTAATGTTTCAAATCAGATAATTAAGAATTTGTTGGGTCTTATATTAACATAAACACCAAATCCGCACAAACTCACTTATTGGGCTTATGTTCTTCATTACGGCCCACTTAGTTTACAGATGGGCCTATTAGTATGTCATGTGACGTCTCTCGATCCTCACTCCCCCCCCCCCAACTTGAAAAACAAACCC